TGCCCCAAACAGAACCTAAGTGTTAGGGTTATTTACTTTTTGCGTATAGTGACAAAGCTTTTGCCTGTTGCTCACATTTTTCTAAGGGGCTGTGCTTGTATACTTACTTAAAAATATAAGAATATTAAGACATTCTAAATAAAAGGAATTATAAATTCCTTTTTCTTTCTTTCCTTTTGTAAGATATTTCCATTGGAAGGTTCGTGGAGAAACAACAAATTTGTATTGTGTTTGAAAGGCCAAAATAGGTCTTCTATTTTGTACGTTTCTTTGTATTTCATGAAACTCCAATTAGGAGCTTTATATATATTATAAAAAGATATGTAACATGCATTTTATCAATGTTTGAAGAGTTAATGCAGAACATTGTTTTCTTACAAACAAGATATTATATTTAAAAATACAAAGATTATTTTTTATTTATATGACACATTATAATTTTAACTAAGGTTGAATCAATAAATAAGATTAGATAGTAGTTTAAAATTAGTTTCAAGTCCGACGCGAGATTTTTCTCTCAATTTTTTTTTTTTTTGTATTTATCAACAATGTTGAAATTAAATTAAAGTGAAACACGTAAGTTAATGATAACACATGAAGCGTGAGTAGGTGGGGCGTTTATATAAAAGTGTGTTTAAAATATTATTATGTGTTGAATCAGAATGTCTGTGAGACACACTCGGGGGGATTAGAACATTTGAAGCAAAAGAAAATGAGAGAAAGAGAGATAGGGAGAGAGAGAAGAGAAGGGTGCAAAGCTCTTGTAAACATTTTTGTATAATAAAAAATTTTTGGTATATGGAGAGGGGGAAGTGCCTAAAAAGTCTTATTACATGAAAAAACCTCTCTATTTATAGGAGGGGGAATGTAATAAAGGAAAATTACATTTCTAACCCTACTTTAAGGAATGTTGTACAAATTATTCTAGGAATTATATTCTTGTGGGCCCAGAACCTTGCTGTCCCTTGGCTACTGAAGATAGTCGACGAGACTGATATGGTCGGCTGATATTAGTCGGCTGGATGCACATGGGGTTGGTCGTCAACTCTCAATTTCCATTTGGGGAATTTATGTTGTTTGAGTAAACTTAAGCCATTGGGAGGGTGATATAGGCTTGTATCTTTGAGTTGGTTTCGAAGGTCTGTGTGTGGCGTCAGCTGATCGGTTCTTCTGGGTCGTCAAGTTGCTTTATGCCAGACCAACTTTGCCATAACATTCTTTCTTGGGCTGTCAAATTGACTTGAGATTCGTGCATATATATTTTTTGTGTAAATTAAGAAATTATAGTTTTTTTCAAGAGAAATTTTACCATAAGTGATAACATCATCAACAAATGATAAGTGGGAAAAATGCATGCCGTTGCCATTAGAAATGGGGATGAAATGTGATTGTTGAATAATTTTCTCCATTAGATTAGAGAAGTCATCGATGATTAGAAATAAAAGGTATGAGGACAGCACGCTTCACTATATGAGGCTAACAGTGGAGGAGAAATTTTATTAACGAGCCTTTAATGCAAACATGTTTGTGAATGTTAACAAAGCAAACTTCACTTTAAGACACAAATATGGGAGAAAAACTTTTCCCAATATAAGTTTATTAATGAGGAAATCCATGTTAGCAAGGTTGAATTATCTAGTTTGATACAATACCACATTGTAGCAAATAATGAATTAGAACAATTAAGAATCTCATTAGCTACAATGATAATCATTAGGGTTCACCTTCAAAATAAACCTAACCCAAGCCTACTTTATAATAATGTCATGATAGATTTAATTCCATTGTCCAACCATTTAACACAATATTTTTGAGAGGGTTGTATGATTGTGGGCTCCAAAAATTAGAAAAGCACCATAGACTCTTATCGAGAGCTTAACATAGTGCATGTTAAGGTTGCATGTCAATTTTTTAGACAGCAGATGAAAAAGTAGATAAAACACTACTAAGAGATTTTACCCTGATTTTGCGAGGATTTTAAGATCTGGAGTTTGAGATTTCCCATAGGTGCAAGCTCCTATGGTTAATTACCCCTCCCAATAATGGAAGAGCACTTTCGATTAAGACTAGTCATTAAACACAAGCTATTCAAAATGAGCACGGAGTAGCGACAACTTTTAAATCTTAAAGTATAAAAATTATCAAACCGTGAGCTTAAAAAGGATGGTGGGGGAAATGATGCGAACCCGATCAAGATCTCATGGTTTCGTCATCCTAGGTTATTCGCGGGTCTATTTAGTCAACGGAGGTAGTTGACTCAACCTGACAAAAGGATCATTGTCAGCAGCCATGAATTGCATCGTCTAATGAGTCCTTGTAGACCTGAGGTAAATATTTTTCTAAGGGGACTAATATAAGTTGACCTTAGCTTACAGAGAGTTCTCTACCCTATCAAATAAACTATATGATTCAACATTCAAAAGAGCAGACTGTCATTTGTGAACATGTGGGATAAAGCTATGATCATAATATCATCGTGTCATTTGGTAGAAAACCACACGGTTAGTAGACTCTGGTTGTAACCGCTTCTTTGTGGTGTCATTTGACGACAAGAACTACACATACGGGGTACTCAGACCACGTCCTTACAAGTAGGAAATTGTTTTGAGTTGGAATTTAGCAATATATTTGTTATGACATTGGCTTTTTGTGAGCTCGAGTCAGCATTAGATTCGTCCACCTCAACAAATGGTTGCAGAGGGTGGATCAATTTTTTGCTTTAAGCACTAGGTGTCATAATTTTTTATGTTTTAAAATATTTTAATCTTATAAATGAACCCCTCCGGTTGAAATTTACGATCAACATGGTCATCATCGAGGAACGAGGGTTGATGTTTTTGAACCATTTCGACTCTGTCCCACTTACAGAGCATCATGTTTAGTAATCGAAATAATTGAATTCAAAATAGACTTTGAAGAATAATTTTAAAATAGACCCCTCTGGTTGAAATATTCGTTCAACACGACCATTATCGGGGAATTGACCTTGTTGAACCATGTCGACTCAGACCCTCTTAAAGAGGATTATGCTCAATAATTGAAATAATTGAATTTGAAATAGCTTTGAAAAATAATTTTTAAATAATCTCAACCGGTTGAAATTCATGATCAACACGACCATCATCAGGGTTTGATGTCTTTGAACACTATCAACTCTATTATTCCGCTCATAGAGGACCAGGATCATGGTTTATGTTATTATCTAAGTTTTGAAATTGGACTTTGAGAAGCGATTTTGAAAATAGACCCCTCCGATTGAGATCTACTATCAATGCGGCAATTATTGGAAAATGATGTTCCCAAACTTTGTCGACTCTGTCCCACTTACAGAGGATCGTGTTCATTGTATATATTATTTGAAAATATTTAAATGACTTTAAAACATAGTTTTGGAAATATACCCATCTGGTGGAATTCATGATCGACACGGCCATCATCGAGGATTGAACTTTTTGAACACTATTGACTATGTCTCACTTATAGAGAATCAAATTCAATAATTGAAATAATTGAATTTGAAATAGACTTTGAAATATAACACTCCGACTGAAGTATTCTATCAACTTGATCATCATCGGGGATTAAAGCCTTTAGACCTTGTCAGACTCTATTTCGCTTGCAAAGGATCATATTTAATAATTGAAATAATTGAATTTGAATTTTAATAATTGAGACATAATTTTGAAGTATATCTCTCTAGTTAAAATATTCTATCGACTCGACCATCATTGGAGATTACTATAGCTAACTCCATTAAAAACAACAATCCTGTCAAATCCACTCCTCATAAGGAGGAGGATTGAATTGACTCAGTGTCGGCTCAATCCTATCAGTGTCGGCTCAATCCTATAAGTGTCGGCTCAATCCTATCGACTCCATTCCTTGTAATTAGAACGATCAAATTGGCAAAAGTGGTTGCTCAATCCTCCGGTCACCATAGGGAGAAGGATCAAATTGGCCTAAGTGTGAGACTTATGACATCATCATATAGGCAAGGTGACCCATTGCCCGCGTAGCCTTTTCAGACGCATAAACTTGAATATTTAGAGGCACGTCAGAACACATGCATGCATTTTAATATGTAGATTTGAATGAATTCTAAAATAGCTTGCACACATTTTTAGAGCAGATTCGATTTGAATTCAAACATTTGTTTACTCTGCGCAACATTCTCGGACATGGGAGTGAGCTCTCAACACATTGATCGGAGCAAACACGGAAATTTTATTAATATTGATTGACTTTAAGCAGAAGGTTTTGTTTGATATGTGTGCATAGGATCTTTTGCATCATCCAAGTAAGACTTTCAAATCTTCTCTTATCATATTTTGTGTATATTTGTTTTCTTTTTAAGTGTTTTTTTTTTGTTTGCATTTGTTCATCTTAAACTTGGTCTCATTTAGATCATTTTAAATGGACCTCCGTAGTTATTTAATATTTATTTATCTATTTTTTTATTTTATAGCAACAATTTAAATTAATAGATTTTTTTTATAGTTTTAAATCTGATTTTTAAACTGTAATTAACATAAACTAATATCTCATTCAAGCAGTAACTAATAACTTTAAAATCAACTGAATATAATAACTTCTATTTGCTTAAATTTGATTGCAAAATATTTTTAAATTAATATATTAAATTAATAAATTATTTTTTTAAGATTAATTTGATTTTTGAAAAATATATCTTATTTAACTAATATAAATTATTATTTGGGATTTTCAATTAATATTAAAAAGGCATATTTACACACACCGCTAAATTCTAATGTATTAACGTATCTAAAACCTAAACTTCACTTTTTATATATATAGACCACATTTTCTATATGTGGTTGTGTATTTTATTATTCAAAAATTAAAATAGTGATAATTCAGATGTTATAGGAAATTTTATTTTTAATTAGTTATGAAATAGTATCGATATAATTATAATTACTTTAATAATACATTTGTTAATTATTAATTATTGATTACACAAATTAAATTAAATTAAATTAAATTACATAACGAAACCTGCCCTCCCCTCGCCTGCCTGTTACTCTCCCCGTTTCGCCGAAAACCGCCGCCTACCTTCCCCTTCCTCCGAAACCCTAGCGATACAGTGGCGACTAGAGCTAGCTGGGAAGGCAGCGACGGGATTGTGGTGTTCAAAGACCTCCGCAACTCTTATCTTTCTCCTCCTTCCGCTCCGCTCCTACCCGAAATCAGTCAGAGGTAATCCTCGTATTTCTTTCCCTTCGTCCTACCTGCCATCGGGCGCTTCAGCTGCTTATGTAAGGCAAAATGGAGGAAAACGGGATTTAAGAACCTGTAGGATTTGAACTTGTCTTTTTTGCTGTTTGGCAGAATTTAAGTTAAATATTGCTCAAGTCCTGCTCAAATCCTGCTATCGAACATTTAATGTTTTGTTTTGTCAGATTTTTTATTTGCTTATGCTTTTATCACTTTATTGCGTAATTCTGCAAATAAGCCAATCGATTTAGATCAGATTGTCCTGTGTGCTAAGTGTCATTAGAATGCTGTGTCCAATACCGAAAGAAAGTGTTCTAGGATCTTGACGTTAAGTACTAGCTTGAATATGGCCTTATGACAGTCAAATTTGTTTTAGAGGTAAGCTAGTAGATGACAATGTTTGGGAAGCTTTAGTCAACTCTTGGAGGTTTTGATTGGTTTTGATGCACTATTTCCATTTAGTTCTTAAGCTTTAGCCTGATATTTAATCATAAAGTTGATTGGAGATAGATTGTTCGCAAGTCATTAATATGATCATAGCTTAATCATACTGTTTTTGTTGTTGCTGACATCACAACTACGCAGTTAATAGGAAATTGTTGGTTATTTATGCTTATTCCACTTTGAATTTGAGGACGTGTTAAACAAGTAATAGTTTTTCTAATCGAGTCACGTAATTTTTTAATAATGCCTTCTTTAGATATTTTACTTGTTCACTAGTTAGTTCCATCATAACAATGCATTGTGCAATGAAGGATAATGAGTTATACTGCTGATAAATCCTGAACTATTGAAGGTTCAATTGAGTTTAATATTGAAGAAAATAAGCCTCTGTTGTATAACCTTACAAAATTGGGAAACCATTTGAAGGTGGAAGAAATATAATATTTAAATAAAATTATTGCATTCAAGAGTGAAGGATCATGTAATTGGTAGTTATGGAATTAAGCTGAGCCTCAAAGAAAGTGCATAAAAAGCCGAGCTGCAAATGATGGTGGCCTCAAGACGCTCCTCACATTGCACAATTTTAAATTGTATATAAAATGAGTACCAAATTAAACACACTAGTAACTTACTACAAGAAGATAGTTCATATTAGATAACACTTCCCTTTACCATTGGGTATAATATTACTGGATAACAAATTATCGATATCAATAACCATAATAGTAGTTTCTTCAAGCTCTATATAAGTAAGAGCATTGATGCCCGAACTGCTGTGAAACAGATCACAACCACGCTGGTATATGTATCGCCTAAGTAATGTATGGATTTGAGTCTATATATCGATTCCTTGAGGAGCAAGCTAATTCGTAAAACATAAAAAGTTCTAGTCTACTATTCTTAAATCTAGGTTGAAGAATTAAAGTTGGGTGAATTTTTTAAAGTGACTAAACCTAATTTTTGCCACGAGTTGGAACCTACAAACTAAATTTTGGGTTTTAATCAAGTGAGAAAACTCCCATTAAATTGGACCTAAAATCTAGCCATATCCACGTGATTCCAATGTCATTGACAACCAGAAATAACAATGTTTTTGAGCCTCTTCTGATGGTCTTAAGAAATATTTGTGTTTCGTATTTAAGTTAGTTCTCTAATTATGCAAAAACTCTCGTGTTTTTGTATTTTCCTATCGTTTACACTATTATAGCAAAAATATTCCTATTTTCCTAAAACAATGTATGTTAACCTAATCATTTCACTAGCCAACTCCTATAGTACTAGATCATAATTCATTTTAACAATCTAAATGACCAGATTAGATGTAAATTACATGCAAAAAATTAATTTATCAAGGTGCTACAACTGAAATTGCTCTCACTATACATGGATAGTACCAACTTGTATAGATTACCAATTCAAGGGAGTGAGATATTGAGTTCCTACTCATTAGAAATTTATACAACAGAAAATTCATTTTAAAATAAAGACAAATACAGTTTAGAACAATCTCATCAAGATGCTCCACTGAAATACAACTGTTTACACAAATCCATTGCCTTTACACTCCTCTGAGTACACAATATGCTTAATCTCACTCTCCTACACTTGATTTCACTCAGGAGAACACTCACTCACGCTCACAACATTCTCACATATTACTCCTTTGAAGTACTTTTACCACTCCTGAAAGATCTCTGGTGGCACCCTTCTCTCGTCCTCTGTTCGTCTCACTGACTCTTTGCCTTCTCCCTTGGCGTCACCAATCAAATTACGAGAACACCACTTAAATCCCTTCTCCATGTCACAAAATTGTCAAATATGCCAAAACACGTCACTTGGCGCTTAAGCATCTGCTAGTGCTGCCAAAATTCCTGACCAAGAGCCCTTTGCCCAGCAATGGCACTAGGTTTTTATCATTTCGGTTTGTCCAGCGTGGGAGAGGCGCTCTGACACCCAACTGCCCAATATTTGGTGTCGAACTTCCAATTTGATGATTTTCCCTTAATCTGTATGTCATATTTGGAGAGAGGCGCCCTACTGCCTAATATTTGGTGTCGAAATTCCAATTTCTTTGTGTGCTCATACCAAGTGAAGTGGTGCATTGGTATTAGGGTGCCAATCTCTCTAGATGTTCATCACGGTGAAGTGGCACCCTGGTGTCAGGACTGGTGCTAGAATTTCAGTTCTTTATACCAATCTGCCCGCTTTTCTTCCTACTTATATCCTATTTAAACAAGCACAAATACACCAAATTAACATAAAAATAACAAAAATAAAAGAGAAAATATAGGAAATATCACATAACATTTTTTGCACATCAGATATAAACTCGAGTTAAAATAAAATGTTGTAGTTGTTATTGAGTAGGAGTTGAAACTACTCTTTATCACATTTTGTCCACTTACAATATTCAGTGAAGGAGCTCCACTTAGTTTCTATTCATTCGAGGCCTTCTAGTCAAGCATTGGATAATATATTGCAATATGCCCTGGTTGATGACACTAATAGTATGTGTTAAAGCTCATCGAACATTCACCATTATTTTATCTGCCATATTTGACACTTGAAAATAAAGTGTTATGAGTTATGTCACTACTAAATTCACCTAAATTGAGCTTGGACTTCTTTTTTTTTGGTCCCTTTGGTTGAATCACATGCTCTCCTTCCATCCATACTTTTTCTTTTGTGTATCTCCTTAAGCTTCTAAGTAAGCTAAATATAATTACATGTTCTCCTTCATCCATACTCATTCTTTTGTGCATCTTATTATGCTTCTATGTAAGCTAAATATTAATCTCCATTTTTCTGGCTCGTTCCACTAATATTTTCTTCAATTCCTAAAAGTATCAACGACCGTCTGATTGACTTCTTTAATCTGGAAAAGAACCTATTACATTTTTCTTTTTACAACAGATATGAACGACGGTGCATATCTTGACAGTGTAATGAAATTTTTTTCATATTATATGAATGTCTTCTCTCTCTGTATCAACTTGATGATTTTTTCCTACATTTGTCTTTGAGCAGATATGGGCACAAACCATTGAGATTGTCTAGGAAGTTTTACGAATTCCTCCCAATTTATCATTATATTTGATATATCTCCAAAATTATCCTGATGTTGGCCACACCATTATTTTTCTCTTCTCCATCCGGTATAATCATAGTTAGTATTACTTTTCTTTCATTTGGACACACTATACTGTCTAATAATTTTTCCATTCCCATTAGACAATTCTAAGCTTTAATTGGACTTTTAATTTCATTGAACAATAGTGATCACAACCTTTGAAAAATCTTTAAGTGCTTATTTATTGTTCAAAGGAATTGAATGTGCAATTGAAGAGAAAAATTGACCGATGCGAATAGAAAATATATTAGACAGTATGACGTACTTGAATGAAATGAGAATACCACTAGCTACCTTTGTATTGGATGGAGAAGCAGAAAGTGGCTTGGTTAGTGTTAGGGTATGCTTGAGGACTTAATATGTTGATAAATTGGAGAATTTTGCAGAATTTTTCTGATAGTGATTTTTACCACTATCTGTTCAAAAATGGATGTAGGACAAATATTTCAGGTTGGTACATGGAAAAAAGACAATCATGTAATATGAAGTAGAGTTCACGACGTTATCGATGCATGCATCACAACTGATGTTTACTGCAAAAGAGAATGTTATAGTTTCTTTTCTGGATTAATGTATTCGATCAGAAGGTCGTTGATGCTTTTGGAAATTGATTATTATTCAGTGTTAATGGAGCATGCTAAGCAAGTGAATATTGATTTTCAGCTTACTTTGAAATATAAGGAGATGTACATGAGAAAGAGTATGAATGAAGTAGAGCACGTGGTTCAACCGGAATAATCTAATGGAAAGAAGCCTAAGTTCAATTCAAATAGATTTAATAGTGACATAACTCATAATACTATAATTTTCTATGCTAAATGTGGAATACATCATAACGGTGAATACTTGATGGACTTCGATACATACTACTGCAATCTTCAACCTGGTCATATTGCAGGATATTGCTCAACGCTTGGTTGAAAAATCTTGAAGGAATCGAAATTAAGCGAAGCTCTTTCACAGAAGACTGCAGGTGAAAAAGGATGATAGTCAACAACTTCAACTCACTCTCAAATACAACCAAGGTAACATGTTCGACCACAAGTTTATGCATTTATCATATAGAACCCGAAGAATCCACAACTATGATTAATGATATTAATAATGTCCGATCAAATATTATCAGTCAATATTATATTGAAGTGTCATCTTATATGAACTATCTTGTTTTAGTAAGTTAGAAGTGTTTTTGATTTGTTACTCATTTTTTATAAATAATTGGAAGAAATATTTAACTTTTTAGTATGTATAATATTATCATAAATGATATGCAATATGGAATTTTGTATTAGCTATGTCTTCACCGCCATTATCTGGGTTAGAGTATTAATGTTTGCATTGATAGCTTGTGATAATTATTCATTTCCTACCACATCTTAATCTCCCACTTTTTCCGGTGCATCCATCTGTCTAAAGTATAATAATTACTTAATTAGAGTTAATTGTAAATTTTTTCATATTATTAATTTCATAACTATCCTACTGGCTCTTTTGTCAATATTGCATTATATTATTCTAAACTTTTTTTTTTCTACTATCACATTTGTCCGACCATCTGTTTCTGTCTTTGTAATTTCTAATCCCTAAGTCGGATCGTGACAAGGACCCTAAGAAAAGAAAAGGAATTAAAATGCTTGATAATGAAAAGCTTTTAATATGCAAGTTCAAGAATAAGTAGATGGTCCAGCTTTAAAATAATATTTATGTAATTTTGGAAGATAGGTAAACTAAAACAACACACCTTTATATTATTTGGCTTATTTATTGGATTCGAGCTAAATTTTATTTTATACTTGTTTAATATTTTTTATTTAGCAAAGCTACTTGAAATCTTATTGTATACGCTTGATATTTGTTAAAAATATTTTAGTGAAAATGGCCTCTATAGAGCTCTCAACATATTTCTCTTTAGAAATGTTTGAAATATTCAAATGTGATAATGAATTGCCTAAAACATTATCTGTCAAATGGGGAGATATAAATAATGAATGTGGATTTGACAAATTTCTTCGGGTGTCTTGATGAATTTGGATACCAGGAGTTATTATATGATATGTGGAAGATGGATTCAAAGATGTTTTGATTTATGGAGTTTCTATACTATAAAATTACTCGGTTAAGTTATTTTACTTTTCTTTTCATGAGAGAAATTGTTGCACATATTCATTCATAAAACCAATGAAAATGAATAAAAATACAAAATTACTCCATAACGAGCTGAAGATTAGTTTACATGCATATTTATCTTTCTCTTTTATTAAAAAAACGCCAAATTATATAGAAAATTATAAGAAGATGTGGGATATTGCATGAATTGAATTTGTATTTCTTAATGATATGGGGATTTTAGGAATTGTAGATTTTTTTCTTGATGAGCCATAATTGAAAATTGTATTATTTAATGATGGTGACATTGTTGGTCAAGGATAAATGCATAAGGAAGAAATCTATCATATTTATTTTAATGAATAGTTAAATGTTTGATGTTTTACGTTGTACTTGTTAGTTTATGCTTATTATTTCTATTTCATACTCTTAAAAATGTTAACTTGTCCATCTTTTGAAATTAGTGTTAGAATTCGCTTATATGGGTCTTAGTTTATTATTCATATTTTGCCCTTTATTATAATTTGTCAAAGTTATGAAATTGTCTTCCTTTCCGCATCAGTGCTCCCTATTAGGGCTGTCAAAAAAGCTCGTTGTTTGCGATAGTTCGTGTTCGGTTCGTTCGATAAGCAAACGAGACGAACGTGAACAAATTTTTTTCGTTCGGTTAGTTAAACGAATCAAACACAAACAGTGATGTGTTCGTTCGTGTTCGAATCGTTATTGTTCGAAATATAAAATAATTATAAATAAAAAATTTATGATATTTTAAAAAATTAAAATTTATAAATTATAATATATAATAAATTAATAATAATAATATATTAATATACTATATTAGTAGTCTACTAATATAGATATTATATATTTATATATTGTAAGTTATATAATTAATATAATATATTATTTATATATATTAATATTAGGGATGTCAACTGGCTCGTTGTTTGCGAACAGCTTGTGTTCGGCTCGTGTTTGACTTATTCGTTAAGAAACAAACACGAACAGTGACTTCACGAACAATTTCAAACACGAGTTTATTTCAAACAAACTAAATTTCAAATGAACCGAACATGAACACAAGCTCTGTTCGTTCATGTTCGGTTCGTTTACACCCCGTCATTATTCATACTCTGTTTAAGTGGATAACTTAATTTGATATTTATGTTTTATGCAGTTTAATAATTCGTTATAGTTTAGAATTTTTTTTTTTGGTTTTTTCGCAGATAAATATTACTAATTGCAGCATTAGTATCACATATCTTTATTCATAAATAAAATTAGATTTAATGTTTAAGCAACCCAGTTGAACTCGGTTTCTAAGTATACTCTCTCTCTCTTTTTGTTTACATACGAGTACTGTTTTACTTGAAAATCAGATTGAAAGAGGAATGATTAACTTTAATATTTAACAATTCTGGTGGTTGAGAAGTATTTGAGCAAATATTTTCTTTTGTTTGTTTGATGTGAAATTGGGTTTTTATTTTTGATGAGTAGTTGTTATTGTGTTGCATTGGTGATCAAACGTTGATTTTCCTATTTTTTATTGATATTAGATTGAGATATATTGATAAAAAAATGCACTTGTTCATATTTATTTAATAAATTTAATTATCTATTCATAGTTTATGGAGGGTAGTGATATAATTGAAATTAGTGCAGAGAGAATGGCTTGAAAAATTGAGCACAGTCTTGTGAAAATGTTGGTGATTCATTGGAATGGACAAGTCCTTTTAACCCAACAACATGATCACACATACGCGAAGTCTTGGAGCATCAACAATAAAAAAAAAAAAATTAATTGAGAAAATTAATTGAGAAATAAAGTCAATAAATACTCTTCTAATTCATTGGAGGAACATCTCTAATATGTTCAAAGAGATCAAGCTAGTTTATATTGTCACCGTAAGTTAAATTGTTACGTTGGAAGTTGTTTGTTTGACATTATTTAAGATTATTATTCAGTAATATATTACGCTACTCATTTAGTCTATCATACATAGCAATTTTGCTTGATTGATGATAATTATTTAACAATGTCATTGCCGATCCCAAGCCTGAATGTGAAAAGTGTAGGGTTGCGTTAGCTAGTCAACAATCAGCGTAAAACTTGTTGAAAAAATCATGACATGAATCCTTTTTGATCATTGTGTAAGTGCTAGGGCGTTCACTGGAAGCGACACGCTGTACAACCTGAATATAGTGAAAAGTGTGCAAGGGCCGCTACACCGGCGCCCGGTTGTAGTACCAAATAAGCAAGGGCTCTCACTTTACGGATGAATGCGAGTAAAGTTAGTTTATAAAACTAATGAAATTAAAACTAAGATAGGATCTCGAAATATAGGTACTCTCAATGATAAATTTATAGAATTAGTTGATATTATGATTGATAGAAAGATTAATATCTTATGTATTCAAGAAACTAAATGGGTTGGAGAAAAGGCTAAGGAAATTGATAATTTAGGTTTAAACTTTAGTATTCTGGTAAGAGTCGCACTAGAAATGGTGTAAGTGTAATTATAGATAAGAGTTTGAAAGATAATGTTGTAAAAATTAGTAGAGTTGGAGATTAAATTATAGCCCTTAAGATTATCATTGATACTAAGATTTTTAATATTATAAGTGTTTATGCTCCTCAAGTAGGTTTAGATATAGGGTCTAAAGATAGATTTTACCTAGAAGAATTAATACAAATGATATCTCTTGAAGAAAGAATTTTTTATTAGAGGAGATTTAAGTGGGCATGTCGGTAAAATGGTAAAAGATTTCAAAAATATTCTTGGTGGCTACGGTTTTGGAGTGACTAATGAAGAAGGTAGATCCATTTTAGACTTTGCTTCAGCGTATGATTTTGTTATTACTGATACTTTATTCAAGAAAAGAGATGAATATCTTATTACTTATAAGAATAGATCTAATAAAACATAAATTGATTATTTTCTTATATTGATTATTTATTATTTTCTTATGAGAAGAAGAGATCGTTGAGATTGTAAAGATTGTAAGGTCTTCCAAGTGAGGATTTAAGTACCCAACTTCCTTGATTAGCTATAAATTTTAAGATGAAGAGTTGTAAAATAAAAAATATTAGGACTCGTCGTCGTAAAATTAGATGGGGGAACTTAAAAGACACAAATAAAATTATTTTTAAGAGTAAAATTCAATATTTCAAAATTTGGGATGTTCATGATGAAGCACATGCCTAAATATTCTACTTTTAATGATCTTTATAATAGATTAGATACTAAGGATGATGAAAAATATATGTATAAACTAACCAATTAAAGAGACAAGAAAAATAAAGATTTAACTCAAGTAAAGTGTATTAAAGATAAAAGTCAAAAAATATTTTTCTTAAAAAAAGATATTCAACATAGCTGTGTGAGTTATTTTGATAAATTTTTTAATAAAGTTTCTGAAAATACGATCGACCTTAGTTATCTTAATATCATTAATAATAATAAAATATTTTATTTTTACCGTCAGATTAGTAAAAAAGAAGTTGAAGAGGCTTTAAAGAAAACCAAGGATAGAAAGTCTGTAGGATCTGATGATATCCCAATTGAAGTATGGAAATATTTAGGAGACTTAGGAGTTTCATGGCTTACTAAACTCTTTAATATTATTTTAAAAACTAAAAAGATGCCCGAGGAGTGGAGGAAGAGTATTTTGGTCCCCATTTTTAAGAATAAAGGGGATGCACAAGAGTGTGCAAATTATAGAGGAATTAAGTTGATGTGTCATACTGTAAAGTTATGGGAGAGGGTAATTGAACATAGGTTAAGACATATTATAAAAATTTCTCATAATCAATTTGGATTTATGTCGGCTAGGTCTATTATGGAAGTTATACATTTATTGAGAGGTTTGGTGGAGAAGTTCAAAGATAATAAGAAGAATCTACACTTGATTTTTATTG